TGGCTTGTAGGAACGGATTGTGAGGATGGGTTTAGTTGACTTCTGGGACATTCAGGAAGTTGAAGAGTTCGAAGGAGCGTGGCTGGATTATGTATTAAATGAGACTATAGGAAATTAGAGAAGTATTGGCATGACACACCCAGATTCCAGGACCACGCTGTCCGATTCGAGGGTTAGGGTCTTTGTCAATGATACGAACTGGTATACCGTTCTGGAGGAGCATTAACGCTACTACCAGACCTGCTGGCCCAGTGCCTACCTAAGAAAGAGGAACTAAGCTGAGGGGCAACCATCCATTAATATGCGGTTCACTTATGACTAGTACGGGAGGATGAGTAGAATTCATTGTAGAGTTCAGAGGTTTTTGGGCGAGGACGATAATCAATGCCAGGAACATCCCCTTTGAGTAGAGGACCGAATGGTGATGCAGTGAAGGGATAATTGTAACACTTGCCACCGTTGGAGTGGTAAGCGACGGAGAAAGGGTTTAAACCTGGAAGTCGGAAAGGTGGGTAGGGTTTGGTGGCCAGTCCAACGGCAACTGTAGTAGTTTCGGGAAGATCAAACATCTTGATTTCCCAATAGTAGACCTCGTTCAATTTGGGTAGGGGTAAATTTGACTGCACGCGCGAGGCGGATGCAGGATCGGGAAGGAAAGTGATTTCCATGCGAGCATGAACCAAAGGTGAATTAATAGTTTCGTAGTCTGGCTCAAAGGACCATGCTGAGACACCCTTCTCCTGGATAGAAAGGAATTGAGATAATGTGATAACGTCGAACATTTTCAGAAACACTCTCGAGCCAGCGAGACTCCACACCTTCAAAGCCTCCTTCCCCGTCTATAAGCTCCTCTCGACTCATGTCGGTAGGTCCATCACTGTCTCGCAAGACAATACCACGTCGTCTTCGAATGAATGATATAAAAAATACTAGAAAGATGAGGAGAATGAAAAGTAAAGTGGAAAGCACGATAAGCAAAGGCAATCATCATATGAAGAGAAGAGCATCTGGCGCAGGCTGTGAATTGAAGTTATCTCAGGCTTGAGGTCTGAAAGCTACCCAGGGAGTCGTCGACGATGTGGCTGATGTTGACGACGACCTGTACTTTTAGCAGTGGGCGCTGAAGTATGCCGCTCTCTGCAGACTTTGGTAGGTTGACAGTAACGGTTTGAAACACGTGGGTTATTTTGTGCGGAGCAAGGTCATGCGGCTGCAGTCACCTAACATAAACATCATAGTGACAATATCGAAGACTCAGAGTACTCATCTGAGGTTCACTGACTTGAACTACTAGTACATCATCGTTCATACAGTCACGGTTCTGCCTGTGCATCAGAGAACCTGTGAGAAGAAGATATCGTCATATATCGTAATATATTGTAATATATAGGAAAGTTTTTCGTCACATTGTAATATAAAGTGATATAAAGCAATATATGACCATGTAAAAGCACCATAATCAGCATAATCCCCAGCAAGAACTCACTGGTTTACTGATGGTAGTACATGCTCAAGAAACACTGGTACTTGACATCCTGGTCAATACCACGGTAACGGTGCTTAGTAGTCAACGTTAACTACTAGTAGTAGTCCAAATCTCCTTCGTAGTACCAGCTGGGGAAAGTCGTGTTATACATATCATGTCGGAATACTAGTGACAGTAGCACTACAAATTGATCATTGTTGATATTGATATTATTAAAGTGCGCTGTGTGCAACGCAATCAGTATTTGTAAAAGATATGACAAATCACCCTACCTTCGACTCGGATGGCCCAAGGTCATGGTACTGGTATTTTCCATCTTCGACTCTGCAAGTATGCTGTCCACGCACGCTTTCAAGCGATCTTCAGCATCTTCTGAATCATCGTCCTCCAGAGGCAACTTCCGCTCAGCACATATCTCCTCCAGATAATCAAGTTGCAAGTCTGCAACTTGATAGGCAGCGAAATCATGACTGTACGTAGTCACAGTGAAGTCTGCGTCATCTTCAAGCTGCTGCAAGGAACGTTTGACTAAAACCCTTTCGAAATAGGAAGCCTCTATCATGCTTTCAGCATATTGTTTAGCATAATTCTTGAAAATGGCTTGAAGAAGTACTGCGTGTTTCTCGGCTGATTCGAGCTCCCAAGCTGCGGCAAGAGCCCGTAAACGCTTGCTTTCGACGTCAGCTTGCTTTGCGATGACAGCTGTATAGACAGTGTCATCAGGCATAGCCTTCATGCTTTCTTTGAAGATCTCTTTGCCCTGGTACAATGCTTGTCAATGTGACATGACCTGTGACTAGTAGATCATGCTTGAATACCTGATGAACATCTACCAGGCTAAGATCAACCTCGTTGCACTTCAGAAGATTCTTCGTCATGACACGGTGTTCCAGAGCAGTAGGGACATGCCCTCCCAGTTGATAGGGCCTGAATTTGAGGCTAGCGCGCTTTGCATAAGACGACATATGGCGTGTTACGGGGGGAGGCCCTTTGGAAGTGATTGGGTGGCACAGCGTTGGCCACCACTACAAGATTCTTCAAATGATGATTGATTGGGGTTTATGGGGCCCATTATCCGACTATGATCATTGTCATAGTAAGGGCGCTTGGTGACATGAGGAGCGTCATCATGATCCTGGATAGATCGCTTGGGGAAAATATCAGCAGGCACCCCCAACACTTTCTCGAAATGAACGGGACTAGAGACTCCAACTGGAGGAGGTGCAGAAATAACAGGGGAGGAGGACATGTTAGTGTGCTTGTCACGGTCTCGGAGGGGCCTCTAGCTTGACTTCCGGACTCAGAAGATATCAACTGGTGTCATTGGTGTGTGAGAGTCGGAGTTTCAACGACCGTAAGCTGGCAGCCCAACCTAACTATGTCAGCACCACTGCCTGGATCATAAGTTCACACAGAGAAAATGTTAGTGACATATTGGGTATCAACAAAACTTCCCAGTATGGTATCACTGTACCATATCTTTGTGTTTCAGATGCCGCAGAAATCAAATTGCTTTCATAGTAATATCAGCCACCGATTTCCAGTTAACATGTTCAACGTTGTATACTAGTAGGTAATGTTAGATTTGGCCAGGGATCACGCTAGCAATTAAAAGTAGGTATAAGATCATACTACTTGTAGAAATAGTAGACAGTAAATGTGACACACTATTCGAGAGCTTGGATATTTTCCTTATCAGTGTCATCAGCTCGTGCCTTCTGTTTGCCTTTAGCCTTCCTCCGTGCTCTCGCACGTTCCTCCTTCATGTGAGCTTCACAAACACGAGTATGAAATGTGACCACAGCACCCTCCGACATACCAACCTTCTCCACATAAAATCGGCTACCAAAATGCGCTGCAGTCGGCAGATACAATATGCTGCGCTCCTTCAGCATATCTCCATACCGAGGGAAGTCCATAGCAGGGTAGCGAGAATGGATGGTTGTGATGACGTCATCAATGTCTTTCGGCGGTTCTTCATCGTCACTTTCTTCATCACTCTCCATGTAGAGTGCAAATGTCCTTTTAAGTGGTTGCGGAGCGGCCATAGGGCCCTGACTTTCAAGTTGCTGTACAGAATGCGCATCATTAGAAGCCCACGTGTTGTCGATGGCAGATGAGAGGTGAACATGATTATGGATAATGGGTGATATGAGCTCGGTTGGGATACATTGAAGCGGTGACGCAGTTCTTGCCTGACGTGTCTTGCGAATGTCATCGAAATAAGACGTGTTGGGTAGAGTAGCACAGGTGCTATCCGGATCTCGAGTGTCGTACTAAATGATTCAGATGAATGAATAGTAGGCTTAGAGGCATATAAACATGCACATACCAGATGTTTAGCCCACTCCTGGAGGTCTTGGGTACATATCGGATAGTGTGGAGCGTCTGGCTGCGACACATCTACCCAACAAAATGTGTTCTCTGAACCTCCGAGCTGATGCTCAGCACAACATAATCTTCTCTTCACATTCTCGAGTTCCTTCACGTATAGAAGGGATGGATCGGACACAATACCTGCCTGTGATTTGATTTGTTTTCCTTTTGGTACCGACATCTACCGCAAGAAGTTATTGAGCTGTCGTGTCACGATTGAGTCAAAAAAGAACTTACAGTGTTGACGATTTCAATCACAACCTTCTTCTTTTTCCGTCCAGACACCTGCTCCGCCCTCACAGCCTTGAAAGCGCTAGCGATGTCCTGGGAAGTCAAAAGGCGATGTGGTGGGTCCATGCAGCGGGCTGTAGACAGACGCCAACCCAAGTGCTCGTACTTCTTCGAAAGATTCATTGCGGCCCTCGTGGAGTCGAGTATATCTAGTGGATGGTCTGACTCGGCATAGAAGTTGTCTACATACGTTGTAGATTTGTCCTTGTCCATGGTATTCAAAGGAATGCGAAACTCGACTAGTGAGACGTGAGTATCTCGCATAAGTTACTCAAGACGATCATCAAAATTACCTTTCTCGAAAGCTTGAGGCTGCTCGGGTCTTTCTTCTGTATAGCTAGCCTGAGCTTCTGACAAATAGCACAACTGAACGGCGCGGATGCGGTTGACCTCTTCGCCAGTGACTTCGGGCAGTTCTTTACGGGCACCAAGAAGATATGCTGTAGTTTGAAGACGGGTGCGTCGGCGAGTCGATGGGATGGAATCTATGATATTATTGATATTGCGCTGAAAGAATCTCCTGATTATCACGATCATGAGTTCTAGTATAACAGGTGGGGCTCTGAGTGTCGCTGTGCATCACGAACCAATGATACAATTAGACTTACTTTGCTCTTAGCTACCCAGTCTTTATATCATTTCAGTCTGGCTGTTGTGATGCAACTCGCTGAATGAAGAGTGATTGCCTAATAAGACTTAGTAGTAGTAATCCGTCATGGCAATGACTATGCCGTCACAGGGTTGTATGGTACCATGCCAGCCGGGAGTCTGGCTCGGCGAGTCCTCGACTTCGCTGAGCAGGCGACTCTGAGTGACCGGTTCAAGTTTTGTGGGGTATGACATGATGCTACCGCGCGTTAATGCCTGAGTCAGTGGCAAAAATGTAAAAGATGATGGATCCCGACTTACTACTCATACTAGTACTGGTCAGTTGAATACCTTGAAACATTAGTACGTCACAGTTCAGCGTGGGCCATTACCCTTTGCCCAACTAGCGCCAAGTCGCTTTGGGAAGTTCTTGACATTCTATATAAGGTAAACCAAGTCTTTCCCGACTTGTAGAGGGTTCTCTTGTTAGTGGTTACATAAGTAATGCGGTGACTTTCGGCTTCGTGCCAAACCTTAACAAGTTTAAATGCTATACTTAGTATCCACGGCTTTGACTCGGAATGGCTGTTGGAGGTGGATATTTAGACTCGATATCACCCCGCTACTTTGAGCGTATTAATTAATCACCGATTCTAGTTCTGATATACACGTTGGTCTGAATATCTAATAGAATGGTAGAAGTTGTAGGTGGCAAACTCATAAATCCTTCAGTGAATATAAAACGGAAAATGACTATCATACATCACTCCTTGCCAGGTAGATTGAGGTCATTAGATATGCGTTGTCCACACGGTTGACATTGTCGTCTTGTCCAGGATCGTGCTAAAGCCACCCCCTTTGGCTCGCAGCGCAGCCAATGCTTCAATCAACCATACTATAACAGTTATCACGGCCGGTCATGACTGTCAACGCGGAAGGCATGCAGCACCTATACTAGCATGATGCCCGTCAATAACTTGTGTGGGGGTGGTTTTTTTACCATTGGCCGGCCTGCAAGGCATAGTGAGACTGGCAGAACCAGCAAGAGTGCTACTAGCTTACTTTCTGCCTACAACGGCGAAAACGTAGAGCGTAAGGGCTCCGTTTGAAAGGAAGGCCACACAAGCCAAGATAGTTATGATATTGACGATGGCATTGTCGGACCCGAAGCAGGCGATAAAGATAGCTGCACCAAATGAAATGTCATACTCATAAGTAGATCTAAACACACCTAGCTGCCTCACTTACCCACAAACAAAAAGCAAGTGGCACTGACAGACAGATTGAGGGGTATGCTAGCCATAGCAGCAGCGCGATGACTTGGTATCGTGGCATGTGCTGTGCTGTGTGTCAAATGGTGAGCCAGCTTAAACAAACTCACTCACCTTGAGGGTTTCCATGTCTTTGTGAGCAGTACTAGTTTCATAGATAACAAGCACAGCAGAATGATTGGAGAGTTATAAGCCATCAAATGCGCACAGGAGGCGGTGACGACAGGAATAAAGTAGTAGTTGCGAGCACGAGCCCGGCCTGAAGTCTGGTCATTGAACGCTAGCCGTGAAGTCAGATTATATGACATACAGTGATGTTTGTGTTCTGGAATCAATTGACCATAATTGAGACATGTTCCTTCTAGTCTTTGTTCTTTGTATCTTTCCAATGGTCGAGAGACTCCCGAGAGACTGCAATAATGCACAAGATTTTGAACGCCAACTTAAGGATAGGATTATTGGGAGCTCGACCGTATCCACACAGATGGAGAACTGTGCTCGGTAGACAGGATAGGCTCGAGGCTCTAGCGCGGAAAGATGCGACGTGGTAAAATGCAAGAAAATCTGAAAATGCACGAAATTATCCAAAAGTTAAGTTTACGCTGTGCTACGTGCTGTAAACTAAACATGAGATAATCATGTTGTCTCGTCAGTCAAAGTTCCGGAGCCATTAATAGGATTAAAGTCGGACAAGGTGAATTCATCACTTCCTAGAAAAGCTAGAGGGACACAATACCCAGTATGTAAATTGATATGATACCGCTTGTACGTAGATTGATCATCGGGTGCGTATAACCGGGCCAGTGAGCACAGAACCGTTACTAAATAATAGTGCTGTAAGTGCGGCCAGCTGTGATGGGCTCATGGCCTCCAGCATCCACGTATAGCGTTCGAGATGAGTACAGTTAGTTTCAGGTATAAACACGCTTGCAATGTGTCTCCCCGTGCGGCGTTCTTCTAGTGCCCACCGGCAGAAAGTAGCCGTTATTGCGAAAAACTGGCTTGACATTGAGATTATCCCCAATATACCGGTGATATTGGTGTTCACTGTCATGTAACAAGTATGACATTGTCACGAGGATCGCAGGGTTCGCAAAGGCAATGTTGACGACGACTCCCTCGACCTAAAAAAATGCAACTCGAAGTATGAGTGAATCATGATCAAGGGTAGTACTGTGGCACGTACAGATATTTGGCTATACAAAAACAGGTCATTCTCTACAAGACGTTGGACTCGTATCGCGCGCTCAGCGATATGCGAAATGTTCAATGACACGCTGTAGTCGAACCAGAGGTCATACTTGTGGTATACAAATGACCTCACCACCAACTTCACGTCGTCGAGTATCTCTACGAAGACGGGCTCGAGCTTCGAGAGCCGATATTTTTCGCCATTATCTAGTTTGCTTAATGCCCATTGTCGAAGCGATTCTGCTCCCAATCAGTTCCATACCGGTGATTACTTGAAATTTCGGAACCCTTACCATCGGTCTGGGATTTGGTCAAGACATCCCACGAAGACTTCACCATTCGACATAAAGAATCGGGCGAGGGTAGTAACGTTTGGCAAAAGGCATCCACTTTGACCATTTCTTTACACTGGCACAAAAACCCTGGAATGCCGAATGGAATGAGCCTCAATTCCGTCGTCGGCGCGCTTGAGCTCATGGTTGCAGAGCTTTTGGTTTTGACGAGTTTGGTGCTTGGGTGTGACGAACGAGATGCCCCCCTGGATTCCTGGGGGCGGCGGCGGTGGGAGGAAGCGATGACCGAGTGTTGAGTGACATCATCAGCGTGATTAGATGGATGGGTGAGGGTCATGGTGGGTATGCTGGGTGCGGCCGATGTTGGCCCAGAGTTGACGAGAAAAGACGGGTTGAATGCCACCGCGTCACTTGCTACCAGACCTGCAGCCGGGATGTGGGGAAATGGATTGGATACCACCCCGTCACTCACTACCAGACCTGCAGCTGAGACGTGGAGAGGCTGCTGCCACGTATCTAAAAAGCCTATTGTGGTTGGATCGGAAAAGTGTTTGGGTTTTGGATGGAAGAGCTGGTCCCACCAGTGCAGCAGGTGTACAGAAGGCAAAGGATAGTGGATTGAATTTGTGATGGCGGCGGCGGCCAGCTCGTCCTGATTAGGGTGCTGATGCAATCGATGGTGTGACTGATAGCCACCCAGTATGGCAGGGTAGTCATCATCCTGGCGTTGCTGCAAGCCCCGTAATGATGATTGATCAGGATAGTTTGCGGCCTCGCTGGAAGGACCTGCTGGTGCCTGCAGTGTGGTCGCATCGTGATAATAGTCAAGATGAGGCTGAGACAGGCCAGGCTGTGAGATGAGTCAGGCTGAGGAGACTGTGGCAACCGACGTTGAGAACTAACCGTATGATAGTCGTGTTGATAGTCATCGTAGTTAGGGAAATTGAATGGATGAGAATCGGGAGGGGGTTGTTCAGTCGTATGTTGCTCAGGCTGATAATCGCCCTGCAATTGAGGCTGATCGCCCCAACCTGATAACATGGTTGGTAGCGAGTAACAGTGAAAGTAAATTACTCACCTGTAAACTTAAGTAAAGAGGGTGCGCACGTGAAGCCTGGATTGGATCGATCACAAACTACATAATGTACATAATGTACATGGTCTTGAATCGTTATGGTAAGAAACTGCTATATGGGTCCCAGGTTCGTGTTTAGCTTTGTCAGCTGAGCGTTGAAAATTATATACATGCATAGATATCCGGTCCCAGGTTCGTGTTTAGCTTTGTCAGCTGAGCGTTGATCATCAATTGGCGCTCGACACGGATTTACATCGTCAAGATTATTATAATCTAATTTAATTTTGAAACCGAGAGGAGTGTTATGATGGATGACTGGGCCAGCCTGAGTAGTAAGTCCTTATTTCATCTCATCACATCTCCAATGTTTCTGAGTCCATGGGTCGAATCAGTCGCAGACTCGCAGGCACCTGCCTTTCTTCCCCGTCTATGAGACCGCTCCGGCTGCAACCAATGGCAACTGGCTCAAAGGTAAACGTTGACCGTGGCACACCCATGGCCTGGAGATCGAGTCATGCAAGGAAGAACTTGAAGGTGCGTACTACTAGTTGTCGCATCATACTCATTCCGTGTGCTACTATATTCAAAAACTCGACGCTTCCGACCTCTCTCAAGCTCACCGTCCTCAGCCCCACCGGTCGTGTCTGGACAGTGGTTGCAGGCGGTGGTGCATCCGTCGTCTACAGTGATCTCATCGCAGCCGCAGCAGCTGCCAGTGGTTTCGCATTCGAACTCGCCAACTAGTGACTACGGTGAATACTCTGGTGCCCCAAGAAAGGGTCAGACTCTCTTTTGATGATGATCCGTACTACGTACGTATCTCATCACTTCAATCACATCTAGCTAATCTAGTACATCTAGTCTACCTGCTCACGTGCCCGCCTTCAAGTTCTAGCAAGATCCTCGGTGAATTTCACCAACGTAGTTGCCACCTTCAAAGGTATCATCTACACGTCACGTTCTACAAACTGAGCTCATTGCACGCACCAGCAAAGTCAAGATCTACTGGTACGTCCGTCCCAACATCATCTCTCATTGATCCTGATATTAACCCTGAAGGGCTTCCGACAAGACCTAGGCTTCCGACAAGACCTGATATGATTACTTCACCGGGCGCGAACAACATTTTCTGGACTACTACCAAGCAAGGCAAGAGTCTCACTGCCTTGCCTATTTGAGACCAATTCATTCAACCTCTTCGCTTTATATTAGGTCATCGACAACACTAAGTTATATCAGAACTTGGTCGTAACTGGACCACTCAAAAAGGTCAAGACACCGCCTGTCATTTCGCGTGTTTCTAGATCGGCAGGAAGCACACTTTCTGGGCTACCGTATAAGGCAAGAGCTCAACTGCTTATTTCAGACGAAACCATTCAAGCTTACATTAGGTCATTCGGCGTAGACGGGTATAAAAAACCTCACAGAAGCTTTCAACGCTCAACCTTCTCATCCTCCCAATTCTTTCTACTTCATCTCTGGTATGTCGATGCCTGAGAGTAACTGCGCTGGCAACCTTCCTGCTCCTACTACAGTGGTATCTCTTTGCGTCTCAACGTCTCCTCAAGCTAGGGCGAAGAGGAAAATTGCTGCCCTCGTGGAAGAGGTCGAAAATTTGAAGCAGGAGAAAGCGATAAAACAAAGGTGTGTGCGTTCTCGACATCTCAAAGCAGTTTTAACGTTCCCGATTGTAGAAAAACAACCTACTATGTTTCCCAGGGATGAGCACTTCGTAGGATGGTTGTTCTTTACTGCCCATTAGAAGATCTGGTTGCCGAGAATGACCGGCGTTGCGAAGACTCAGACGGCGACCACACAATCGAGTAAGCATTCATGTTCATGGTACCATGTTTATCTTAACGATGAACAGACAAAACCGCCTTCAGCGCGGCTACATTGAACTCAGTAAGACATTGCCATGGTTCCATGAAAAGCTTGCAAGTCTTGATTTCGAAGAGTCGGAGGATATGCTCAAACAGGTTTCTCACAGCATCTTTGTCACGCTTCTGTGCTAATTGGCAATGTAGCTCAAGCGAGGAGCTGATTCAGCTCATGGTGACGACACGGGAACTCTCAAAGAGCTCGTGGCCTCATGGGTTAACATTGAGTGTCGTCTGCCTTCGTTTCTAAGAGCAGACGATAAGCACCATCGAGGTTTCGTGAACGATGTGTGTGGTAAGCTACTCTGCCCAGCGGAATGGTGCTGGGAGGATCCAGTGTAAGTGATAATCCTCGTCACTTAGATGTTACTGATAATGTTATTCAGCGTCAGGGCCGGAATTCGTGACCGTACCACCGCTTTTATTGTTTCCGAAAATTCATGGCCTATGTTCATGTATGAAAATTATGAAGCCGATGCGAAGAATCTGGAGCGTGGTCTCTTCAAGTCCAAGCTATTAGTCATGGTCAGCGGCCTGATTTTTTAACTGAATTTTAGTTCATCGCATTGCAGGGCTTCAAAGCCATTTTCACATCTCCCTCCTCGGCCAATGAAGTTGATGGCGATGGCGATGGCATTGATATCATTGAGAATCACCGACGTGCCCGGAGACGATCAGATCACGCTAAAGTGAAAACATGCGTTGCCTCCATCATAGGTATGAGGAAGGTAACTCCTCGCGCGATCGCATATGCAGCTTGCCAGGTGAGTATCAATGCTTCTCTCTTACCATGAAGTTGAAATCAAATTATCCAGATCTGATTCGCGCTGTCCAACATCACTTCCTGGCGCACTGTTGACGGCGACTTCGACTATCAACTTTTTTGGAACAACATTGTAGACTTCTTCGAGGATCCTCCAGGTCCAGCTGCGCTAGCGAGGGTGAACAAGCTTCTCGAATGGTGGACCAGGTAAGTCATCGACCTCATCAGTGACTCGCCTGGATTGCTAACCTCCTGTGTAGAAAAGTGTTCGGACAAAATCATCGTCAGGACTTAACACCGGATGTTATTCTTCACATGTCTGTCAACAGTCTCGCTTCCCAGAGACAGCAAATGGAGGACGCCGCATTCGACTCCAACTAGTTACTTGATGTTTTGCTTGCTCATCCCACTCTACACCTTTAATATGATTAACATATCCTCTTTGTCCCGCTGCATTATTTCAGTCCTACAATACACCCTTGATTATCAATGTCATCATGATTTTAACACCTTCTGATTTATATGTGTGATAAACTCTATTTTCGGATATATGGTATAGTGTGTGATATGCGACGAAGCACGAAGCACGAAGCACGACACACTGATACACTATGGCAATTTTAACATGCGTGATCAGAATTTGCCAGTTGTGAGACTAGGATTGTCCTGTAGCGATGGCACAAGATAATTATTTGTCCTAACAACGTTGAATTATTTATGAAAAGGTCAATGCTCTGAGATCCGAAAATGACTGCCTAAAGTCCTAACAACTCTGCTGCTTCTTAGACTGTTAATTTAGAATGCTGATGGTCCATTCAACGAAGCGTTATTGATAGCACACGGTAAAATAATCCTGAGCTGAGATGCCTGATTGCACAATGCCGACTTTCGTTATTCTCAAATCCCTGGGCAGGGCTATCTTCTCTGGCTGATAGAAAATTATTGTTTCCGTTCATGATAATAGTCTGGTCTCTGTTGCGACAACTAAGTACCACTGCAGCAAAACCTACAATTGGTTATTTTCGGAATAAAACCAGCTAACGCTCAAAAACTATAGTCAGGCTACTCTGAGGTACTAGTGAGGTAGCTCAGTAGTTCATCAGATCTTCGGAAGTCTTGAGCTTGGCACGCCGAAAGGAGTGTCATTGTGAAGGCGCAAAATATTGTGCGAATTACAATTTAGCACTGCCACTGCGCATGCTTGTAGCGCTACATCAAAGTTCGAATCATCGACAGCCATGGTCGCAACCGAAAATTCTGTGCACTGAAGCAACATTGTAAACTTTTGATTTTGTCCGAAGGTATGATTTGATGCAATATTATGTTCTGGAAAGTTTCCACTAGGCAATTATAGATTTTTAGTGACAGACTAGGAAGTCTAATCATTGAGAAATAATATATACTCTGACATACCCTGGAACGGTATGTACGTTCTGTATAATGTATTGTTCTGTGTGACGGTCTACAAACATGCATTTCATTTGCGCGACTCTGCTACTTCTATTTCGTTGCAACTCGGCGTCCATCGTGCAGTGAGACCTACTCTAACACAACTTAGGACACCATCTGTACTCCATACAATATACCACTCAAAGCAACACTCATCCAACATTTGGTCTGTACAGACAAACTATCCATTGAGAAGTACTGTCTACTGTGACTCACATTTTTTATCTGAGCAAGTTATCCACGGATTCGGTAGTTATCCGCAGCGAGTAAAAATATAGTGTGCGAAGACCAAAAGGCACCCATCCTCTTCACGGGTGAGCATCACCCAAATATCTTTCACTTCCACACACTGTAACCTCCTTCCTTGCCCTTGTAAGACTAGGTCCATATTAAAATGCATGAACCTGCGTTCGAGCGTTGTTTCTTAGACCCATCCAAGCAAAAAGGTCCTTGAGGCAAACAGGGCTACCAGGCCCGTGCGCTTGCAAATTGGTCATACCTCGACAATGCCAAACATTCCCATGTGAAAGCGGTCGGCAAATTTACACTGATTGTTGCGATGCTCAACAATATATTACTTTAAATACCATTCTAATTTGTTCACCAGTTCACTGATGGCTGCAAGCAAATTTTGGAGTCCACAGCCCGAGCCGTTGCTGGTGCCTAAGTATGTATTGCGAGATGATCATAAATGTCACAAGCGGCTCACAATCTTCAGACAACATGATTGCACGAGGTCAACATAATGCGAAAATATTGCAATGTCACTGCGGGGTATGATAGTGACATGAAGGGTAAATTGCGTAGAACTACAAGGTGTACCTGATTATCTAAAGATAGCAATCAATTGCACAGAACTTTCCTGATGACTTATAATGGTATGATCTACTACAGACCGTTAGCAGGAGCAAGAGTCACACTGACAATGCAAGGCTGCGCCGTGGATTGGTCTACACCCTCCTTTATAGTCCTACTATTCTTCAAGTAACGTGTCTTATCTACAGACTCGAGCATTTCCTGGTTGAACAAAAATTTCACACTAGCTCTAGTATGTAATTGGGCCGATACTTTCTTGATGCACGTTGATCAACACGATGTAAAGTCATCGATGTGTGACGACAACACTGACGGGCGGTCAGACGGTAGTAAAGTGGATGAACGTATGGGATTGAGAGGGGGTATCGTACGATAAGATACTCAGTACGATGTGGTTAGCTATATATAGGGAACAGCATCCCGAACGGTGTCCAATCAGGTAGAGATACACAGAACGTCTGAGTCACGACGTCACTGTCTGACATCATAGATAGATGAGTTGCGTCATAGGTAAGCGTCATGCTTACACCCTTTCCCTCCATCATTGAGACCTTTCCTTCTCCCAAGCGTCAAGAGCTTCGCAGTCCTCCAAGTCCCGTCGCGGTAGCCACTCGTCGTCTTCTTCGCCGAATCCGACCCATCAAACAAGATACTTCTTTCCTCTTCCGACTTTTCTTTCGTCCAGGATTTTGTCGATGAAGTTTTCAAGCTGTCCGTCTGCGGTGACAACCGGTCCCGGCTTAGGGTGTTCGCGAGACGGGAAGAGAGTTGGGTCGTTGGGTTTGAAGACTTGAAGTTGGCTGACGTGGAAAGTTGGGAAGATGTTAGGTGAGTTTGGCAGATCTGGTGTGTAGGTGGAGCTCTCTGGGTGGGCTTCGACCACAGTGTAGGGACCGTCATATCTTGGCATGAACTTTGCTACACGATTATCGCCTTTTTGGATGTATTCTCGGCGACGGTGTTTTGTGGCCAGCATGACGCGGTCACCTTCTTGCAAGATGAGGTGTGGTGCTCGTTTCTTGTCGACGGCGTGCGCTTGGGCTGCTTTACTCACGATCAGACTATCTTGTGCTTCCATCAGGTCGAGGCTAAGTTTCGAGAGCAACGCGCGCATGCGCTTTTCATCAGAATCTTGCTGCGTAGCCGCGTCTGGTATTAGGGGAGGTAGCATTCTTGGCAAGCATCCCAGATGTAGCTGGAACGGTGCAAAGCCAGTACTCGCGTTTATCGTACTCATGATGTGGAAACGTACTTTCGGTAGCGCCTGTACCCAGTTTCTTTGGTTGCGGTCCACATAATAGCGCAGGCACTGTGTCACTGTTTTGTTTGAGCGTTCACTTGATCCATCCGTTTCCGGATGATACGCGGACGACATTTTCACCTTTACACCTGTTAGTTTATACAAGGTACGCCAGAACTTAGACATGAAGAGCTTATCACGATCCGATATGATCTCTTTAGGTAGACCGTTCTCACAAAACCAGTTGTCGAAAAACAGTGTTGCAAAATGTTCGGCCGAGATGTTGTCTCGGCATGGCACCAGTCGGATATCCGAGTTTAGCCTATCAGTCATCGTGATCAGCATATTGTGACCTTTGTCCTCAGGTAAGGGTCCGACGAAGTCGATTGCCACGGAGTCACCTCGCGCGTCAGGTACCGGTAACAGGTGCAATGGCCCTGCAATCCCCATTGTTTTTGATTTGTTGCGCATACAATCGCTGCAGGATGGGATGTAAGAGTCGATAAGGTCGCGTCTCATATTTGGCCAGTAGTACAAGCTTCTCAGAAGTCCGTAAGTCTTGTCAGCTCCGAAATGGCCAGATGCGTCGTGCGCCGTGTGGAACAGCTGCTCTCGGATGTTGTCGACACGGGGAATCACCATTCGTCCAGCGATGTAGAAGAATCCGTGTTCGTCATGTGACAATCCTGGCAATGACCCTAGGAGCCCGGACAGCTTCATGCACCAGTCGTCTTTTTTGTAGCCCTGTAAGATGCGTGTCCGAAGTCCAGTATCACTCTGAATAGTTAGTACAGCGGCACATAATTCCGGTTTGCATATATCTGGTCGTCTAGACAGCACGTCAGCAGCACAGTTTTCACTACCTTTGATATAATTAATTGTTATGTCGTATTGCGACATATACTCCGCCCATCACGCCTGATGCCTCAAAAGATCTCGCTGTCGTTGGAAGTTCTGTAATGTACAATGGTCAGTATATACGTTGACATGCATACCGAGTAGGTCTAGTCGCCATTTCTTCAGTGCGCGAATGATCGCAAGTAATTCCTTCTCGTGCACAGGATAGTTTCGTTGTGCCGAATTGAGCTGTGTCGAATCGAACGCCACAGGTCTGGCCGTTTCTCGAGATGTTCCCCATGAGAGGACGGCCCCAGTAGCATAGTCCGATGTGTCGCATACTAAGAACAATTTGTTTTCTCCAGGGTTGTCGTGGTCTATGGTTGTTAGGCAGTGCGGGCTGAGTACCAACTCTTTGATCGCATCGAAGGAGTCCTGATGTTGTGTAGTCCATTCTGGGAAACATTTGTCAGCTGCCTTCGTTGTTAGAGGTGTTAGTGCCAGAGTATGTCTTGCTACGTCTGGCAGATGATCGGCAAGGTATCTTACAACACCCAGAAACGCTCTGACATCTGTAGCGCGACGTGGTACCGGCCAGTCCACAATACGTGCGACCTTGGACTTGTTAACATCTATCCCGCGTGTCGAAATATGGTGCCCTAGGAAGTCAATCTCTGCATTGAACAAAGACGTCTTCTTTGGTGAGCAGTACAAGTGTGCTCCGCGTAGAGCTGTCAGTACCATCCGCACGTTATCTTCATGCTCCTCGAGGGATTGAGACCATATGATTATATCGTCCAAATAAACATGGCAAATGCGGCCGATTAAGTGACGAAGGGCGGCTGTCATCCTTCTCTGGTGTACTGCTGGCGCGTTCCGTACGCCCATCGGCATCACCGTCCATTCGTATTTTCCCCACGGAGTGTGCACAGCTAAATATTTCATGTCGTCGGGATGAACCCGTGTTTGGAAGAATGCGTTAGTCATATCGATCTTCCTGAAGTACTTACCCTTGGCACAGTCCTTCAGAATTTCGTCG